ATTCTGAAGGTTCCCAGTCAGCTGACACAAAATGCTTCCATCGGGCCAAAAAAGTAGGATGATTCTTCACATTTCTGGTTATAGTCTTGTCTATATGCCAGGAACATAGACGATGTGTTGCATCGGGAAATACTTTCTGAATAGCATTACGCATTGCTCTATCCCCATTTGTAATAACAGTCTTGGGATCTACACCGCCTAGCCTTCTCTTCTAAGCTCCCAACACCCAAACATAATTTTCCTCTCTCGTTAGCCAAGAAAGCACATGCAAATACACAAGTTTGCGAATGGTGGTTGACACCTAAAAAAGTTCAAAAAAAGTTAGATTATGCAAACTTCTAGGGTTATTTTAGCATGCTCGGGATAATTCTATGTGTGAAGGAAAAGTACCTGAAAAAATCACAAGAGACATCTGGTAAATGTTCCTTTTGTAAGTAGCATCGAATGACAGTAATTCTCCAAAGCATGCATAATCAGCAACAAAAATTCTATCGGCCCAGAAAATGTTAATAAGCCGGTCGTCGTCATCCTTCTTTAGTTCAATAACGAAATGCTCGTCCGCGCTGCGTTTAGCTTGCAGGTAGGCTAGGGCTGTTGCGACATCAACTTCACTGATTTGTTCTTTCCTCTCTTTGTCCACATAATTATATGCATCCTTCCTCGTGTACCCCAAATTGTCGTAGCCTCCTGCTTCTGATACGGCCAGATTCACAATTTGAGAAGTTTTCATACCTGCAGCTCTTCTAAAATTTATCGCTGCTTTGAATGCATCACTCATACGGCGTTTCCCTTTCATGTAGTGTCTATATTCTCTGGGGATCGTTTCATGTGTGTGTACATCATCAAACTGGTGCACATATCACTTTCCATAGACATTGTCTTGTTTAACACGCATCTTGGCTCTGCATTTAAATCTGGTCTCCCCTCTTGCTTCTCTCTTTCGTTATGTGCTCTTCATGCGCCTCTTTCCCTCGCCAGAGCATACATAGTCACGCCATATCATAACTTTGTTCTTATCACGACCAATGTCTAATTTTCTGATGTCGAAGCCTTTGACTAACCCGTAGTCCATGTAGAAATCATAGGCTTCTTCTGTATCATCGAACTTCATTTTTATAATATCTTCAGGCTGTAGAAATGTGAGATTAGCGACATTATCTTCCTGGGTGGTGTGACTGGCTCCGACACCAGCGTTTTCTTGGACTGACTCCGACGTCAATACTAGGACTTCCTCCGACGTCAATACTAGGACTTCCTCCGACGTCATTATCACTGCTGGAAATTTTGGGGAACCAAGGACGTAGATTGCAAAACCCTACTGGGAATGATGGCCGAATTAATGCTTCAATGGGCCACCTAATAATTATCCCCATTAATAACACGATTTGTGATATCTTATATTTTTGGTAGGAACGAGTTGAACTTTCTATTCTTTATCTTAGTGATTTCTTTACCATTTTCACAAATAACGAAAATATTTAAAATGAAAAACCTTGCTTAGTAAAGCCAAACGCCAGCTGACTCTAGCTGTGTACTACGTGTATGGGGAAGGATCAAATATTAATATGAGCGAATATTTACTGATAGCACTCAATTATTTATTCAATCGAAAAAAGTATATTTTTAATTTTAGGTTTAATAACTACCCATGTTTATCCCAAGTTCATGTACCTTAGACTAAACCCTAACTATTTTTCCGCGGGAAAAATATGGCGCCACAATTTATCCTAACCTTGTATATATAATTAATCTTCAGCGGTAGAGCAGTGGTTCCATATCCTTCTTTGCCGCAATTTTGAGTACAGACTAAAGCTTAGATTAGAGGCACAACATGGAAAATAGGAGGATTACTCGCTCTTCGTCCAAGCTTGTGGTATGTATAATAGCTCTTTTACCATTGAAATTCATTCTAGTTAATTTATTAATCGTAGGTTCACTGTCATTGAAGGAGACCGCCGAATTTGTGACTCCAACAAAGAAACCAAGGATACCCAAAGGTGTAAGCACTCCACCCACTCCTGCTTCAGTCATCGTTTTTATTTCAGACGATGAATCTGACTCTGAGGTCACACCAAAAAAGCCAAATGGAAAAAGTATTTGTCTAAGTTCTGTTGACAAGGTAATAAAGGTGTAATGTTTGCCATTGAAGTGTTCTTTGCCGTTATTCCGTCATAACGAATGCATTTCGACTCGTGTTTATTTGTGGCCCCTATTCCAGGTTGTTTTGAAGTTTAAGCTACCTACCGCTATGGAATACGATGATGAGCAAATCCAGCTTGCTCACTATATATTTTTAGCCAATCTGCCACCTGACGAAGTATTGGTCAAAACCTCAAACAACTCTTGTACGAGGAATTCATTGTGGTCCTTAAGCCCTCGCTCATTCGTAGATGCTGAAGTAATCAACGGAACTCCAAAATTTTGTTTTGTTTGTCCACTATCAATGCTTTCTACGTAGAATTATTTTATAACAACTCGATAGTATCATGAAGTGTTTTTTGTCCATGTTATATTAGGTTATAACAGCGATGGCCTGTCACTTGACTCTAGAAGAGTTGTGGACAAATTCTAAGGACGGAAAAGGAGTGTGCTATCTGCCTGCTGAACTACAGGTTGTGGTCCGATTATGCTTAATGACAATTTCCTCTCACCAAAAAAAATACAACACATGTTTTTTTAACGTGAATCATATTGTGTTGACAAAATTTCAATTGTGCAACTACCACATGGGCAGGAACTAGTGATTTCATGTGGAATAACACCCAAGAGGGCATTAGACCTATACGAATCAAAATTCCTTAGTCGAACCAATATGGTGAACAAGGTAAACTGTTCGTCTTAATAAGTATTACATGGTTTGTAGTTTATTTTTTTAATACGAGTTGACAATTTCCGCATATGTAGGTGTGTGTTCCGATGAGAGATAATGCCCATTGGTACTTGGTTGTCATTAAGTTGGACAAGGAAGAAGTCCATATCTTGGATCCACAACCAAATGAAGACCGCAATTCCTTTCGACTACAATCTGTTCAAACAATGGTAAATTTGTGATATTGTGCCGTTATAACGCAAAAAAAATGTAAATACCTCTTTCTAAGTACAAACGTTTCTTAATTTGTACATATGAGATTTATGCAAGCCGTATGGAAGATTCTCTATCGTGAACAAGGTCCGGGATTGTCGCCACCAAGGATTGCGGAGTTTTCGTACCCAAATCCTTCAAAGGATCAAGAACAACTTCATCGGTAAGTATGCCCATTTTTTGTGATATTAAACGACGACTTATCAACTTGGTTCTTATCACGCTATGCTTTTATTTTATGTAGGTCTGACAGTGGAGTCTGGGTATGCATGTGGATGTATGGCGCAAGATGGGACTCCTCTTATATTTGGGTAAAGACAATTCTAATTCGCATATTAGAAAACCACAATTGATTGTTATTTTTGAATCATGCGTTAAGCACCATGTTTGTTGATGTTGATAGCCATGCACTCTAGTGAGGAGGATGCAGATCGCTTTGTACCTTGTTCGAGAGCCCATGAACTACATAAGGCATATGGTGCTCACGGAAGCAAGAACAGTTGCACCTCAAGTTGAAGCTGCAGTGGAAGAGTACAAGAAAGCCCATGAAAGGAGGAAAAAGGAAAGAGAAGAGCACAAGGAAACCCAGTCAACGAGCCCAAGGACAACCTGATTTTGCGTTTTAGTTTTCAAGATGATGGACAACTGTTATGTTTTTTTTTCTCAGGATGATGGACAACCGTTTTTAATTTGGTTCGGTGAATGCTTTTTATTTTTGGTTTTTATATTTGGTTTTTGGTTTGGTGAATGCTTTTTATATTTGGTTTTTGGTTTGGTTTGGTGAATGCTTTTTATATTTGGTTTTTGGTTTGGTTTGGTTTGGTGAATGCTTCCTATATTTGGTTTTTGGTTTGGTGAATGCTTTCTATATTTGGTTTTTGGTATTGTGAATGCTTTCTATATTTGGTTTGGTTAATTGGTTTGGTTTGTTTTGTTTTTTCGTGGAAATGGCAAAGGGACTTCACCAAAATTCCAGCTTCCAACTTGTGAGTGAGGTTGCTTCTGTTCAAGGCTTCAAGCCATTGCATCTTGTAGAGAGATTTAATTGGGATCGTGTATAGTTAAACTGATTGGCTCCCAATCGTCTAATTAAATTTGCATTCATGTATAGGTAACCCAAAAGGTAAAACTGATTGGCTCCCAATAAGTATAATTAATGACCAAACCCCGTACAAGGCAGATAGAAAATTCTTATGTAATTAATATAATGTTCCTAGGATATGGAAAGGCTTCCATTCCTTGAACTTCCACCAACGATGTTTTCACTCCCCTTTTAGTGAGAGAATTCATTGTAGTAATAAATACAATAAAAAGGCATACATAATTAATGGATTCTTTATTGTGTATAATTAAAAGGGTATTTTACTATTAACGAAGCATGATAGATTCACCGGGGGGATAAAAGAAGCATGAGTCTTGATGAAAAAGGGGAAAAAATCACCATAGATAAAAAATCATTATAATCAAGCCATATCCATACTATTCACGCCTATCATCGTCACTATACTTGTGACCAAATGTAAATAAAACCATAATTTTCGAAAACCATTAAAAAATGAAGATGAAATAAGTAACACATTCTTCGACCTAATTGGAACTACTTAGAACAAAAGCGGATTAAAATCTCCCCCAATGAAATTCATTTGCAATTTCATAGGTAGTCCCTACTTCCACTTCTATAATTTTGAGAAAACATTGTAATTTCATCAATAGTCCCCACTCGTGGGCCAATTTCAATTGCAATCAAATTTGCACCCTTGCAATAGCTTCTCACATCATAGCAAGTGTAGGATGCAATTGCACCTCCTTGCCACATCATCTTGCAAGTCACAAAAATTGCACCAATGGAGATGACCATTACTGCATCTCGTCACCTGTCTTAGGGAAATTAGCCATGGCAAATTCACAAAATACTGCATGCATAGAAAAATATTTATCTGGACAATTAAAAAAATGGGAGACTTTCCTAGTCAGATGATGTACTGGCTCCTCTCAGTACCTGACAGTTTTGAGTGCTGGAGAAAAAGACTGAAAAAAAACCAACAAAGCCTTAGTAAACTTCTTAACAAAAGACATCCATTGCTGGCCCCTTTGCTGCTCCAACGCTCCACCCCTCCCTGCATCAATCGACTCTCATGTAAGCCGAGGAAGTTTGCTTGAGGATGCCTCAGGGGTCTCTTCATGCTCCGTATGCCGAAGGTCAATAAAAGTATTGGTCAATTCGGCGATACGGTACACTGGCAAATAGGCGCACTGGTCCTCCTTAACATAAACTCCCATATCCATCCCAACCCTTTCAAGAAAGGTGGTCACGAAGGTGGCATATGGAAAGGCAGTGTACCAGTTTTCCCCTCTAGGAGCAGCCTCAACCATGTTCAGGCACATGAGAGATGCGAGGTTAACAGAAACACCTCTATGAGCTTGCACAAGGATAAATAGGTCAAGTTTATGAATAATTGAATGACCACGGTACCTTGGCGTGAAGCAGTTGACGATCATCCAGTGGAGGAATCGAAGAGGATCTGGGAGGAAAGAAGTCTGGATGCGCCCCTTCGTCAGTTTCGCCAGTTCAACTTCAAACTCAAAATCGTACAGCTGCCCAAGATCGCTTCTGCTATCGATGGGGTGTCCTGCGGTGGGAAGATCGAGGATCTCAGCAAACTGATGAGGCTGGAAGCAGACTCTATGTCCCATGAAGATCGACACGAGATGAGAATAACAGGGACCAGACAGCTCTAAATTGTGGTATAACTTCCTCACCACATGCGGGCAGTAACTGGTGCTTCCTCGACTCCGGATATCAAAGAACTTTTCCCAGCCAATATTTTTTATTAACTTCTTCACTTCATTTACAATTGTTGTCTTGCTTTTAAATGAAAGATAGTCACCGAGACTTGCGATGGATCGGCAGTCTTCGTTTGATAGAGAAAGTATCCCCATTTTCGCAAACGATTTACCTTTGTTTGCCATGGAGTCTGGAGGAAGAAGGAACAAGGGAAGGTGAAGATGGAGGAAAGATAGAATGTAGGTGTAAGAAAAAGTGATCGTGGGGGTTGAGTGTGGAGACGTGAGTGTGATGGAGACGGTTGAGTCTGGAATGTCAAGAGTTAGAAGATTTCGGAAGATATGTAGTAATGATGATGTTAACTCGTGTAGGTTAAACTAGGGTAAGTAAAGCTAGTTAAACTAGGGTTGGCGCACGAATTGACACGGCAGGAGAAAACAAATGGGCTCGCACGTTCCAGGCCCACTTTTGAATATTGCATGGGTCATATACAACCCCACGTTTGAATGTTATTTAAAAGCCTGCAAAAATCAATGATCAGACCCAGTCCAACTAGAATTACTCCTAAACGCACCGTTAATACATAAACACAAACTAAGGAGACCTCTCCATCCGATTCGAATCAAATTATGTGTTCTTCATCTTCTTCCTCAATCCTCTGGGCGAGACGACCACTACATATCAGGAAACCTAAATTTCACCGAGAGATATAAGGTTCGAGAAAATCACAATAACGCTAAGACAAGATGACAAAGCACTAGCGACATGAACCCTAGGGTTAGCAAACCTCTTTCAAGGGTTCTTTTTCATATGAAAAGTTTGATGAACACAATAATAGACATGGTCGCCGTAATCGTGTTAGAAAGAGATAGGCGAGGTGAAATAAAATGGCAAAGAAGAAACAAGGCAAAATAAATTGGGAAATTCAATCTACGTCGAATGTGGATGCAAGTAATTGGGATTCAAAAAGATGATTAAGTTGGGGAGTTCAAATTGGATGGGGAGCTTCTCTTGGAACTGTGAAGGGGCGTCCCTCCAAGACGAGAGAGGGATCGTGTAATTAGTTAGGGAGACTGGAAATTGGTTAGGGCGGCAGTGGGTCTACCCAATTGGGTTTGCAGTCTTAATCCATTTAATTTAATCGGGCCAGTTAGTTGGATTAGGATGAAAAAAAACTTAACACGGCAGGATCCTTTTTGTAATTTGTTTAGTTAATTAGTGGCGCAGGAAGGTTTAACAAACGTGAGCCGTGGAGATTGAAAACGAATGGTTAAGATTGGCCAAGGTACCCGTACCCGGATTTTGCTCTGGGCACCGTAGAAGTCACCATATATATATACATACATACATACATACATACATACATACATACATATATGTGTGCACTCAGTGCACTCATTTTTTGTGTGCACTCAGTGCATCCAACTTTAAAAATGTCCATAATATATCAAATTTTGAACTTTAATTAGTACTCTCAATCTAATATGATGATATGACATAGACTCATTACAAATCAATCTATTACCCTAACCCCTTAACTTTCAATTTTGAATCCCAACCCAAAATCCCAAATCGTAAACCTAAACCTAAATCCCAAATCCTTCGAATTAAAGTAAATTTTGAATGATTTTTCCCCCAAATTCATGTGCTTCTTGTTCATAATATCATAAGCAACAATTGATACTGTTTTGACATGAATCCAATGCTCAGAATGACTTTTAGAGTTGTGCACCCAAAAAGTGGGTGCACCGAATACGCCACCATATGGATTACACTACAAACAATATCATTTAGATTTTCGAACTGAAAAACAGATTGAACTAGATCCAATGGGTTGCTTTTTTGTCCTCAATTTTCCGTTTTTTTCTTCAATTTGATTCTATTCTATTTTATTTTTGTAAGTTCTATGATTATTGATCCACTTGACTTTAATTTAAGTTCAAAATTTAATTGCTCAAATAATCATTACAAAGAAAGCATTAAAAAGGACTAAATTACATGGTTGGCCACTTCAATTATTATAAAAAACGAGTCTTCGCAATCCGAATCTTTTCTATCTTATCATTTCAGCATTAATCACACGTTGAGTCACTCAGATTTAATCCAATCCAAACTAACTTAACTGCCTAATCAGCCTGAAAACTCAACCCAACCAAACCAAAAAATTTGAATTTTCTTTTAATTTTTGTTATAAAACAAATAATTTACTTTTACACCAACCAATTAGTATAAGGGTAAAAGAAAACCAAGTTACAACTCTCAAGTCCCCTTCTTCTTCCACCTCTATTATCCTCTTCAGTGCAACTTCAACGAGCTCCAAACTCGAATCGTCTTCGATTTCTCCCCCGAGAACTGGTTTTCTTAGCTTGTATGGATCTCTTCCTCTAAACAACCTTCTGTCAGAAGCTGGTGGAAATCCAATGAAAAATATTATCATCTTCTCAAATGTTATAATAAACGCACCACTCTTTCTCTCTATCTTTGACCACCCATATCATCGATGAAGATTACTCACTGGATATATCTCTTTCGTCCAAGAAAATCATGCAATTAGCATCAAAGGGCGGCCAATCCGACGCTATTAATGTGGCTCTGACCACATCTGACATCGTTGTTGAAGGATTCTACTCTAGCAAGTACGGAACCCACAAATCTTCGTTGAGTATGGGTTTCTCAAAGTGAAGAACAAACTCTGATGACAAGAAGGGAAATTATATGTGTGAAGCCAAAGAGGAGAGCCTGAATTTGCAACTCGCTAATGATTAAATTAGGGGTAATTAATTAATCCATTCAAAAGGAATTGATTATGCCAAATCTACATACTGGCGTAGAGCGAAACAAAGAGAGAGAGAGTGTGTGTATGTGAGAGGGTTGTTGGTAGAATTGTTGACCAAAGTCTTATGGTTTATTGTTATATATGTTACAATACTATGAGAATTGGGCTTTCTGATTAAGGAAAATAAAAGAATAATATTCGCTAAAGTTGCACTGAACATGGGGGCAATAGAGGTTGATATGGAAAGCTTCATTCAGAAGAATTATTCACAGAGAGAGAATAGAGAGAAAAAAATCTCTTCTCGCTCCTACTGTCCCATAAGGTTTTTCTTACCGTTGATGACGGTTAGTAGCCAGCCCCCAGAGACGGGGGCCGACCACTGTTTGAAACTGCCAGATGGATCCTCATCATCCTCACCAGCACAAACAAGTAAGAAAGCAAAAGTAAGATCCAACACATGTTTATTGAGGTAGTTTAAAATGGATCATCGTGGGAACGACAAGAGAAACTGATGAAGAAATGAAAAATATGGAGCAGTCAGGGGAAGATGCCCCAACTCCGCCATTGAAGGCAAGCCTGAGAACAAAATCAGGTAAAGCTACCAACAAAGACTCCTTCCTCACGAATAACCAATCGCTTGAAATTCCATAAGGAGATGACCTAATATCGAATGTATATGACGGAGATGATGGGGAAGATTATCCTGAATGCTCGACCATCCGAATCAGGAAAATAACTAATACAAAAATGTTCAATCGATGGAGATCACCTTCCGAGTCCTAGGCTGATCATTCCCTCTGCCTTCATTCATAGAAGAGTTCATAGAATTTTGGGAAATATATGAGGGATGAAGGTTTGTGATGTTGGGAATGGGTACTTCCAAGCGATGTTCGGCTCACAGCTTGACCACGATAGAGCTCTTTATGGAGGGGCATGTACGACTGAAGACCACTATATCATTGCAGAACCTTAGAGGCTAGACTTCGACCTTGATTTTGACACCATCAATACGACTATTATTTAGGTAAGATTCCTACAACGTCCACTTACTCACTTTGTTAAAGACATTCTCCTAAAAATTGGAAATAAGCTAGGTAAGGTGGAGAAAATATATTACAATAAGATGGATTCAGGGGATACTATGCATGTATTTATGTTGAAATCAACCTTAGAAAGAGACTAGTCTCTAAGTACTGAACCAAGAAAAGATTAAGGAGGGTGGAATATGAGGGCTTGCATACAATCTGCTTTGAGTGTGGACACTATAGAAACTTTGAAGCCAACTGTCGATAGACAAAAGCAAACGGAATTTTCAGCTCATAAGAAATGATGAAGGAAGCTAGTACTCCTAAAGCAAGCCAAAAAATCCAATATGAAATTCTTGAATATTATGGACCCGAGATTATTGAAATAATACCGGAAAGAAAGCGCAATTAAGAGAAGAGTAAAAAAAGGGGAAGACAAAGTAAAGGGGGTGATCATGAAGAAGGAAGCCAGAACATCTAAATCATGGTTTAGCGTCCTAGAAATGGAGGAGGAGGCACCAATCAAGGGAGAGGGAAAAGAGGATCATATGCACCAACAATAAAAAACTGTAATGCTAAGGAACAACAGAGCGAAAGTAAGGATGAGAAGCGAAGTAAGAAACTCAACAAGGTGAAGAGGAGAACAATAAATCATATTGGAAATGAAGCAATGATCAGAAGCAAATGCTCAAGACACACATGCGCAAGAAAAACCAGAAAGCAACTCCAGAGGCAAAGCTCTACGATAAAAATTCAACCTAACGAGCACCCTCACCTACTGGAGCTGTTAGACAGAGCATACAAACTGGAGGGAAAGCCACCCCTAAATCAGCTAGGAATGGCACCAGTAAAGGCTCATCGATTGAGGCCAAATCAGGCCATCAATCCAAAATGAAGCAGCAAGCAGTCGGAGAGGAGGAAAGTGAGAACACCAAGAGATTACCCAACCCCAAAAAAGTGGTTTGGGCCATTCAAGTAAGATAGAGTTTGATATGAACCTAGATGGTGCTATCGCGATGCCAAAAAATGTAACAGAACCAATGGATGTTGCTACTGACAATAATTCAGAGAGGCATAAGGCAACATGTTGCTAATTTCAACCAAAGGGTCATCACAAGGAAAGAATACTACCCGTTCTTATGGTTAATATTTTCATGGAATCGCAACGGTGCTAAACACTCTAAGTTTTGTACTACTTATGAGTTACATAAGGCTAGTTTTAGTCCGAATGTTGTTTGTATCCTGGAACCAAGAATAAGTGTAGAGGAGGCAAACAAAATTCTCAAATCTCTTGGATATGATGTTTGGGAAGTGTCAGAGGCCGTGGGATTCAGTGGAGGTAGGTCCTTTGGGATAATAGCAAACTAAAACTAGAGATCATTGACTAGAAAAAAATAGTTCATCCATCTTAAATGTATGATGGGAGGAAGAGTACAATACATTATTACTGCAATTTATGCAAGTCCTACTGAACATGACATATGGGAACTATGTCACGAACTATGGATAATGTAGAGTAGTATAAGACTCCCATGGTTGCTAATGTGGAGGAGCGTCATTCAACTTTACTAAAGTCAGAGCATTCAATGAGTGCCTTGAAGAATGTCGTCTCATTAACCTATGGTATAATGCCCCCAAATTCACCAAATTCACCAAAAATACTAGGATCAAAGAAATATTTGATGGAAGCTTATTCAACTTGGATAGGCAGCATCACTTCCCATCAACCAATGTGATCCATCTCTCCAAGTTGAAATCGAACCTTAGACCAATCCTCACTATTTGATGAGACTGGGATTATAGTGTTTTTCTCTCATATTTGATATTTTTTCCCCTTCTATCAATGCATCTTTAGTACATTTTTCCATATTTAGGTAGAAATCATGACTATGTGATCAATGTGCTTTTAATAGATTTAGAATGGTTTTTGTATCAGTTTTTGCCTTTTTGGTATTCTTTTGTGCTTTTCAAATGTCAAACATATTCTAGGATAACTTGGATCAACGAATGGATCAAATTGGAGGATCAAAAGAGACTATTATTAGAAGATCAAGGTGATTCGTCCATAAAAGAGGCCAAATCGGGAAGCCTTCAAGAAGTCGTCATAAAATCCCAAGAGGATTCCACTAGAGAATTTTAATCCCAAACCCACGAAGAAACCCAAGGAAACCTTGTGATGGTGCTAGCCTCGCTGCGCCAAACCCATCAAGGCATGCTGAATTTCTCATGAGGAGTTACTTATTGGCAAGCAATTCAAGAAAGAAGAAAACCCATGGCGGACCCAACTGCCACTCGATTGCCACCGGCATAAGCCCAAGCAATCTTTGAGAATATGTCTTTCTTTGTCCCCAAGTCAAGCAATCCAAGTTCTAGTGGTATCAGGAAGCCTTTGACCGTGTTTTAGGAGGAAAAACTCCCATAAACCTCTACAAGTAGAGATTCCTACTACTAAAACAAAAAACCAGATATGGAATATGAAAAAAAATCACAGAGTTGAAAAAAATAGGGATGAGGAAAGGGGGCGGCATGGAAGAGTCGCTGAACTCGCGATGGCGGAGTAAAGATGACGATGGGCGCGGCAGGGGCCGGGGGGAGGGTGGGCAGCGCGGTATGGCCGGGGCACGGGAGGGGGGGGGGGGTGGCGGCGACGGTAGCATGTCTCGGCAAGGGCAGTGGGCGTGGCGGGGACTGGCAGTGGCCATGGAACAGGAAGAGGGAGGTGAAGTGGCGACGACGACAATGTCTGTGGAAGAGACGGAGGAAGGAGAGAATGAGGTGAACGATTGTGGAGTTGGTATGGGCTAGATTAGGGTTTTATTATTTTATATGGGATGGAAAATGATTGAGTGTGGTAAGTTTTTTTCCTCCCTAAAATACCATTCGTTTCATCTCAACCATCAATTTAAAAATGACATGAGAGAGACAGGAAAGAGTTTACATCTAATGGCTACAAAGTGGGTTGGGAAACGCACAACCCCTTAAGAGGGTTGTCACGGTATCTCATTCCCGATGAGCAGTATGTTTTATATTTTGTCATTTTTTCATAGGCTTACATTTCTCTTTGTATGTACTTATTAAGATTATTTATTATTCAAACATTGTCTAATAGGAGGGCCGCTACATTTATTTTGAGTGTGGCTGGGAGCAATTATCATGTAAACAATAAGAGTCACTACTTCATCACCAATTTGAAGATCACATTCATGATCATCTAATATTTGATTTACAACAATTTTCAACTTTATATGTTGTACATAACTTTTCATTGATTTTGCATGTACATCTGTATGTTTGGACTGAATATTGTTAGCTTCAAACATTTCTTTCAGCCTCGTTATATAAATTCATGCAGATAATTCAATTTATCATATATAATGATCGAATAAGAGCTATTTCAATATATTTCTCCAATGGGTAAATGTATAACTGAACAAACTTAGTAATTAAACATTCTGGTGGTAGTAGACTGCTCAATCGATGGTAAATTGGTCCATGATTGATACATCTAATCCATGTCCATCATTAAAATAATGATCTATCTTGCCGCTCATATAACTAAAGTCAAAAGATACCATTGTTGTGCATAATTCTTTTTTCATGATGTACTTTGTATTTTGAAATAACATCAGCACGACACTAACATGTACTTGAATAAGGTCCAAGAGTGAAAATTCACATATTTGGTAAATAATCACCTAGGAAATAAACATAGTTTAGATCAATGAAAGGGAGAGACTATTGCATATTATGAGCATGTAATAAAGGTGTAGTAGTAGTCTTCTACTACCAATCTATACATCTATAGTTGTGTATTCTCTTTAACCTTTTAACACTTACATAACCAAAATTAATCATAGAGACACTCCGCCTCCACTTTACAATACCATGCAATATTAATTGTGTGACGAAAGTTGTAATTTCCTCTTTATAGTTTACCCCATCATTATAATTACAAAAAAATCAAGCTTTATCTTTGCATCACACAATTAAGTTCCCTCTTAGACATTTTAATGAAGAAATTACATGAATTAATTCATGTCTAGCATAGATTAATTGATGAATTTTTATTAGAAAAGAAAGCTTTCCTATTTATAATTGATTAAATGAGAGATCGTGAAAACCCAACATAGATAGGTATGGATAAGGGATTTAGGAACGAAAGCGACTTGAGTGAAGTCTAAATGCAGATGGATGTGAAAAGGTGGTGACCTAGGATGTTCTAATCATTCACTGACCAACAATGAAGTTGAAGCAAAATGCGGAAGATGATTTAATTTTAATGTATTTACGAATGACAAAGCTTGAGCAGTGCCGACATATAAATGTCTACAAAAGAAGTTATGTTTGTGGGAGAAAAAAGGAGAAAAGAGAAATTTTCAAACATTGCTGACTTGAACGAAGTTGAAATGCGAAAAGGTAAGTGAAGCCCACTTCAATATTTTTTGAAAGACGAAAGGTAATGGTTGTGAAACTTGTCTGAAACACTTTATTTGCATAACCGCAAAATTAAACACAAATGTATAACCACTCCTACATTAATTTTACGTACTATATCTTATTCGTTTGAACTTGGATTTCATATTTATATACATAAAAAAAAGTCAAACAAATATATTCTAAAATGACATTTACAACTATATATTTTTTGGAAAAGGTACGTAGGAATATTTTAGTTATTTTTTATTTTTTTTGTTGAATTATTTTAGTTATTTTCTAGAGTAGGAATATCGTATACTATGGTGGCAATTGACTCAACTATTTATGTATATTTTAACAATTTTATGATGTAGGAACAAGTAACATATATACGTGATTTGTGATAATATATGTTACTTAGCATATTAACATTTTGAATTGATTGTTATATTTTAGTATATAACTAACTCCAACCCATGGAGCAAAAGAGCTAAAAAGCAAAATTTAGCTTTTTTTGGGCTCCAACCCACAAAATTTTTGGCTGTCAAATATGGGTATGGTCATTTTGGGAGCCAAATATAGCTCATTTTTTCGTTGGAAAGCCAAATATGGCTGGAGTATAAAGTGGCCCCGCGCAGACCAATATATTTTTTTTGTTTTTCTCGCTTTCCTTTGTGATTGGTTGTTGTTCTATTTGAATGTATTTTAAATTTAAATGAGAAATCATTCATGTAGTGAGGAAACAACGGTTACATTGTAGCGATCATATTTTAACGACTTTAAAAAAATGCTATATTTAGAGTGTTCCCAAAGTTAACGATAACAAATGAATGACTAATGTTCGAAATATTTTTTTGTTTCGGAATTTTAAAAAATTTACATAATTTTTTTTGTTTTCAAAAGTAATAACGAACTATAAAAAAGTTAAAGTGAAATATAAAAATTAAGGACCAAATAAGTATGTTTTATTAAAAAAAGGAGATGAGAAGCTAAATTTAGCTTTTTGTAGGGTTGGAGTAAAAATGAGATTTGGGAAGCTAAAAAGCCATATTTGACTATTTGGAAGCCAAATTTGACTTTATGGGTTGAAGTTAGTCTAACTATTTGAGTGTATTAGTACATATGTTAGTACAAATAAAATATTATATTGCTGGTGTGATATAATCCCAAAGAAGGTTTTCCTTTGATTAATAATATTTTTCATCATAAAATGAACATGATGTAAAACTTAACGAAGTGTTTGGATTTGGATAGCAATTGAATTTCGGTTTTTCATCTTATTTTTTCATTTATGGTTTTGTTCAAACATTTTTAATTTTTTATTGAACATATCATGAAAACTTAAACATATGTTATTTTTATTTATTAATAATTTTGTATGATGGATATAAAGTTCAATAGATACTTTAGTTGCTTTGATTTGATTCATGTCAAATTTAGGGCAAATATTTTATAATTGAGTCGATGGTCTACCAGTAAATCAGGAGATCACATTAAAAAGGCCAAGGGTTAAAATGTTTCATGAGATGAGTAGTAATCTTTGTTGTGGTTGATAATATCAAATATAATTTATCTCAGTGGTTAAAAACTTTTAATGAAATTAATTTGGGCATTGCAAGTCATAGGTTCGAGTCACGGTGATGATTGTGTATCTCTCTAGAAGAACTGAAATGAAAAAGATGACATGAAAAATTGTGGAGTTTCTTGGAGCCTACATGGCAAGAGATTGCTCCAAAACAACCCTAATATAAGTTATAGAAGATTTCTTCCACTATAAATAAAGGGCCAGGTTAAGGTATTTAGTAGGCCGCAAACTCAAACTAAAATCACTCCATAGAACTATAACAAGGAGTCACTTATCTTGGAGGAGGTCGAATTAGCATTCATAGGAGGGTGCAACTAAGGAGATGCATTCATCATCGATTGTGGTATCATCCTTCTCTTCTGTGTACTGTTAGTTCAACTTTGTTCTTAAGGATGCGAATTGTATTGATACTTGTTGCATCTTCTTTCTATGATATGATGAGATGCTTTAGTCATTGTTTATCTATGTTATTCGATGATTATACCATTAGATGCCTTAGTCATCTGATATTTATGATATTCGAGTATCTTAGTTATATGATGCTTTTAATCATATTATGCGTTCATCATATAATATGTGCTACTATAATGTTGTTTATAATATCATCACATGTTGCATGAGAAATCTAACTTATGTGATTGGCCATTGTCTTATGGGTGTATGGAATGATCATCCATCTATACTCAACTATGTGCAATGCTTGATACCTTAATCATTTAATGCTATAGAACATCACTATGGTTTGTAGAGGCCCTAAATAATGATATGCTATCCATACTTCCTTTACTTGATTGATTGATTAGTCTAATGGAATGAAGCGAAATCAGACATTAGCTAGTAATAATTCCTATAACATGAAGTGAAATTCGAGCAAGATGGCTTTAGTGAAAGAGATAGAGATACAAGATAGAAGGTGCATTTTTGCTTATCATTATTGAGATTGAAATACATCATCAAATAGGATTAGTTTCTTATAAATGTGTATCTTTACTTTCTTGTAATTTAAATTATGTTTTACTTTATGATGCGTCTCGAAAACCACTAAGAATGGGGAATCTCAACCCATCGATTTCTATTGAGTCTTTGAGCATTAGATGATTGGTTGTGAGTAGTTATTATTATAAAGTCTTGTGGAATATGATCCTAGACATTTATAGGATTTATAACTTTGATTGCATTTGGCTTGCATTAATATCACTATATACATGCACATCACTATTACCTCCCCTGAGCGGGAATAACAAACTAGTGAGTAGATTCCAATTCCTTGCTTCTTGGTTGAATCATGAACATTTTCCCCTTCTCTTTCTCAATATTGAAAATCTAGCTTTGGCTTCCCTCGTCCCTTGCAGGATGTTGTTTTTACCTTACAAGATGGAACATACAAGTTTTCGAGAATACTTTCAGGAGGAAAAGGGAATTGCTTCACTCCCTTAAATTCATGGAGTTGATTAATAAAAGGAATCCCATAAGCAGTTCCCTAGTAAAGTAATATGAAAAAATAAAGACTTTGAATGTACACTTTGGCAAGAAGAGATGCTTGGTATACAAAAATCAAGGACAAACTGGGTTTCTAAGGGGACCAAAATACTCAATAATTTCACAGTATCACCCTTAGTAGAAGGAAACACAACAAAATCATTGCCCTGAAAGATGATTAGGCGCAGTGGGTGACGGATCTAGTTGTTTTGCATGATATGGTTAGGACCACTTTGTCAAACTCTTCACACAAGTGATATTGTCAATAATAGAGCTGTCATTGTTGTTGCCCTCTCGTGATTGATGATTCT